CTTTCTCTTCCAGTGTGAAATTAACTTGCCTAAAAGCTTTTACAAGACAGACGTGGCAAAAGTTATGTCTATTTTCGATCAATGATGAAATTTACACAGGAAATATTCGAGGAAGAATGCGGTAGATTTATGAACCTAAGTAGGTGTCATTTGGAATTCACATAGAAACCGCAAATCATGAGAAATACTTGGAACATCAGACCAGCAGGAGTCGCCAGGCTCTGGTCTAACTGATGCTAACTGGGCGCCGAATCTCCAGGGCCCCATTGCGTGAAAATTCAGGCAGTAAAAATGGCGCCGAAACGGTGAGCCAAAAACCCCGCACGGCTTGTGCATCAGAGAGCACGCCTGAACACTTGAACTTGAAGATGTGGAATCTCAGAAGCGTCAGAGTAAATTATCCGCGAGTCAAAACATCCGTGTGATCTATGTCATTTAGCCAACAATCACGGGACGGTGGAATGTGACAGTCATGACATGCGGGAGCCATAGTGTGCTACACCAAATCTCCCAAGAGAAGATTCACTGTTTTCTTCTCGGTAGCATCTGCTGGTATTTTCTCAAACAAATTGTTTGAAAAGTTTGTTATATTTTGTTTGGAAAGTTTGTTAACTCTCTGCACCTGTGGACAAGTACCTTATGAAATAGTACAGGGTTGAAGAGCAATTTAAACAAAAAAGGCAGGCTAGAGTACTGACAAAGCAAATTTCCATTTTGCATGAGAAAATCTTTACGTTTAGGTGTCATGTCCTTTTCTTTTCGATTCACCTGTTGTAAGGTAAAGGTTCACGATTGAAAGAAGAAATTGTTCCTGAAGATTTACTAGAATGGCAGAGAAATCGAGGAACTTACATAGCGCCCTCTGTTGATTTCACTCATTACTGACGGGCATCGTGTCCATCTTCGGCTGTAAGCAGACCTACATAAAGAGAGACAAAAAACGGTTGTCACTCTTTTTTTTGTCAGAAGACATAATTGTGTTCATCATGTTTTTTTCTTATAAAGAAGTTACCAAATGTATATCTGAAGTCATTGTCCAAATAAGTTGTTTGCCCCACTTCACCTCTGCGGTCATACAAAGCTTCCATCAAAATATCTCTAGAAGTGTTTCGGGGCTTTTGTTTTTATAGTGATGCGAATTCCCATAGTCATTAGAAAGAATGCCATCATAAAAGAAGTTTCAATATGACGGATGATTCAGCACTAAAAAAATTAACCGTTTGGGTTTTTTTCTGTGATGAATAATGCTATTGTGTTAGTTTCTCTTAGATTTGTCAATTCTCCATGATAATCAGTACAACGAGCTAGCTGCATTTCAGAATCATAAAAAAACAATCACTAAACATTAAGATAAAGAAGCAGGATTGTTTACAAACAGAGTTTTAGTGTGAAATTCAATATCTCCATTTCCTCTGTTTAATATTTCTTTATTTTATTTTTTTTACTCGGAGTCCTTAAAGACTGATTTGCCTGTGCGTGCTATTGTGGTTGACATCGTCTTGGTTTTGTAGATAATGATGGTGAACTAAAAACGGGAATAGTGACAGGTTCGATCTTTTGTTGACGGTGACTGCACTCTGATATCATCTCCGTCTGACCCGTAGCATGGTCTAGAATTTACCTCACGTAGGCATCCGCATCTCCTTGACAATTATCCCTACCCCACTATCACCCAGAGACTTACACTCCAGTTGAAAGCAACAAAATAGATGCTTCATTTAATATGCTCTGACGGCAACAAGAATATTACAATGTACGTCGCACTCCTGAGAAGCCAAACAAGAGATCCTCCGGCGGAATAAAAAGATGGGTCATCGGTTTGGGAATAAGGCAGGATGTTATAGGCACGAAAGTGATGTACCCAAGGGGTGAGAATCACCGAGACAGGAAAAGCGACTCACTGGCGATGGTAGTCGAAACAAGAAAAGTGACATGTAGGTCTCCTTTATTCTAATACGGGACCTGTATCCGCCGTCTAGCCGGCCCATTTTTGCTCCGAGTTGAAATCCCTTATCTATCAACGCGAGGGTTGTATGACGAAGCTAGCGCAGTATGTAGCGCCATCCTTACCGAAAGTAGAGTAGGTCTGCTGTCTCGGTTACGAAGGGAGAGAGTTGCTAACTATGTGGTGATAATAATGACGTCGGAACGGTTTGTACCTTAGATATTTCTGAGTTCAACTATGCAGCAGGTGGAATACTATTTTGACATGTCGCATTTTCCAAATCGTCAAAATGAAATATGTTCATGACATCACAAAGTAATCTTTTTGAGAAGGCTGGTTTTCCATATGAAGTAAGATCAGAAACTAACAAAGAAAATGAAATGGGATATGTAACACTCACAAATTAAGTGTTTCCTTTTTTAATTGGTCCACAATGCTCAACAATTAAAAAGTTTGTATACACGATGATTTCCATTAATATATTTTTGTTCACGTGAAATGACGTGGCCGTTGCGTCGGGAAAATATTATTAACAAGTCTAGCGAATAACTGTGACTGGCCGGTGCAAGAGAATCTAAAAAAAGAGCAATGAAAGGAGCCGCTAGACTAGGTATTGTCCAACACAGACGTATCAATAAAACGCCTATTGGTGACAAGTTTAACTGTCTCACACCCTGTCTGTCTCGACAAATAGAACAAGCCAGAGACGGTTACGCAGTATACAGTACTCATGTCCTTAAGGTGATATTGTATTTGATGCTACAAACAAACAGAAGGGCCGGGAGGTTCGTCTCCAAGTTCGGCTTCAGGTTGCAGTTTTCAAGATTTGTTAGGCTACTGACGTGGGAGATTCATGCTTACTATCTCCATGTTCTGCTGCTGAATATCACTATTGGTATAGGCTAATATCAGACCAGACTTATTTAAAAGAGTACTTTGCTCAAACAAGTTCTTTAATTATCCTGGTGATGCAGAGCATTTCATTGCTTCAGAGAGGAAGAGGTAAACCTGTACTTTTGAAAAAGGAAGGTGACCCAAGCTCTTGTCACCAAAGCAGCTTCAGGCATAGGAATTTTTATTTTCGTCTGAGCGAAGTGCAAAAGAAATTGGCTAACTTGCAGGTTCCGGCTAGTAGTAGTTACAGGTGACTGCTCTCGCACATTATTTGCAAAGTTCACAGACCGTGCGTTCCCTTGTGCCGTGAGTGTGTATCAAGCAACGGGGTGATGGCGCCGCCAACGTGACCCGGTTTTGAAGTCTCGATAGGGAGTCAGATCCACCTCTAATTGTTCAGTTGATGAATACAACACCTATGTCTGACAGCTCTGAAATCGATTTCAACAATTGAGACGAGTGCATACGTAAAATGACTTCATTTATTGCAAGAGAACGTTTATTTCCGCTACAACAAACTATGGTCAGTTCGCGGTGTTAGTGATGAAATTAACAAACTTGTTTTGCAATGCAGTTTTTGTGGAGTTTCAGATTTCCTTCATTTCAAGTTGTTGGTATTAAAAGTATAACCTTATGCATACATGTTCTGCCACCTGCGTAATGTCAGATTTCAGACTGAAGCTGTCCTCGAATTTCTACTCATCGTGAGCGTGTATAAATTATACCGATTAAAAGAAATGAGCCTTCGCAATTAATTCGGGGAGAAAAGTGCTACTGGTTTCAATTCACCCTGTAGGCCTATAAGCATTGAAACACAATACAATTCCTGGGCTAAACGGCTGTTGTGTTCACCGCTTTTACTTTCATAACTTATTCCTAAGGGGGCAATCAAGTGCATATCTGACCTTCACCAGTCATGTAGGGGGCCGGTCGTGAAAAACTGCCTTTCCAAGGGCAAAAATTACACGGTAACAAAAACCCCGCCAAAAGTCTGACCGCGCGGCTCACCGCAAAATTCTGCGGTCTGTTGCTATACGCTGTCAGAAAAAAAAGGTGTGATCTGCGTCGACACGTGCATTGTTAAGAGGCATGGCTAGCAAACTGAGGTCAAGCCGTTTAAGTTTGCTCTTAAGCAGGTCGGTGGATAATTATCCATGGCTTTATGAAAATTGGCACAGAAATCCAATTGAGATAACAATCTTCAAATTCAGTTTGTGAAAAGTGATTTAATTATCTCATTTAATGGGACTAAACATGGTCGGAAAAGGGTATGGTTATGTCACGTGTATAGCTATAGGGTGTTCACACAAAGTTCCCAAATTTCTCTTCGTGGTTTTATTGCCTGACGCTTACGCAAGTCACAAATGTACATGTACATTTTACTATTTATACTTCCAAGTTAATACAGCTACAACTTCCATCAGACTCGCAGTATACACCGTTTATTTCATAATGAAACACTGTACATGCGCATCTGAGCATAAGTTAGAAGCAAGTACTGAGTGTCTGGTTCGCAGTCAGACATTCCGAATGCATATTTCCGTCGAGAGCCTGTCGCGATCATCATATATTTATATTTATCATCTCTGTGTGAGGCATATTTAAACCCATGGTTTGGCCGACAGGTAAAGTGTGAAAGTTGGAAAGGGGAATGACTGCACATTTTTGTTTGTCGTGGAGTTGTGCAGCTGCCAATTAGCCGTCAATTGGTTCAAATCATCGGCGTGTCATTGGCAGCCGAAGTGGCGTGGTATGTTGAAATTCCGTCTCCACACTTCCAGAATCGAATCAGCTATACATACAGCCATAGAGAAAGGACCAACAATTCATAAAACCAGTCTGCATAGTGCTAGTGAGGTCCATGAAATATAGAACAGTCAGGTGCTGTGAGCATACACCCGAAGTGAACTTTGTGAATGCAACTGCAGTGCCACTGACCATAGACCACACTGCGTAATGTCTGAATCCAGCGCACTTGTAGGTTGGGCGTTCTGATTGGTCTGTTCAACGCTTGCGCAGTATGGTTGCTGTGCGCGCTGACGTGCGAAGTTGAACTCATTTGCTTGAATTGGTGATATTCTGTTTATCGGGGACCGCCCCAAAACACTTTCAAGCAAAAAGGAAGGGGTGATCGTGTTTAGTATAGCAAGAACGATTAGAAGCCAATCAGACATATATCTAATCACGGCCTTCTTGCGTAGTTCAGTGTGCGTGCATCTGGTCGTTTGGAAACCCTCTGGAGTTTTTTTCTCTCTTCGCGACCCCAACTCCCCGATGCAGTTGACAGAACACAACCCACTTTAGTCGGCAGTTGACACGCCAATATTGCGGTGGAGCTTAATACAAACAGGAAGTAATAGACGATCGTGTTCACGTGCGTGTGTACAGGTAACACAGCTCAACCCCGGATCGTTGGATTTGTATGAGACAAGCTGGGGATGGATTTGTTCGAGTTGAGAGCAAGACAAATATTGGCGTGAAAAGAGGAGGCGCATCGACATCTCTCAATGTGCCCTCATTCTGCCTTGTTTGGCGGTGCGTGAAAAGCCTGTCGACTCGACTCAAGAACCTGGCAGTGTGTGCCGGGTACACATTGAAGTTTACACAGAGCAGCACGGCACTTGTCAATTTGGGAAAGCCGGATTCACACCTTATGGTCAGCACTCAACGCTGGCAGTATTTGTAATTAACAGACAGAGCTGCAGCCGCAAACTTCGAAGTTTCAAACGTTAAAATAAGATTACTGATTCCCTGTGGATTTTATTTCAGTTACATTATCAGACACACCGGTTAAACCGGCATTGGTTTTACGAAAATGCATTTTGCTGTTAGATTTCGGTATTTGTTGGCGGTGATGTTGAGTGGGATGTGGTGTGCCAGATCGGACGCGCAGAATTTGAACATGTTCGCGGCTCAACAGAATCAGCCCGACCCGTGTTACAGCGAGCCAGGCGGTCAGCCCCGGCGCTGCGTTCCCGATTTCGTCAACGCTGCGTTTGGGGTTCCCGTGGAGGCGTCAAGCACCTGTGGAACGCCGCCCAGTCGGTTCTGCGCATTGTCAAGCGGGGATGAAGGTGAGCGACAGCGGAACTGCTTCGTGTGCGACGCCAATCAGCCCAAGAGGAGACATCCTCCGGAGTTTCTTACCGACTTGCACAACCCCAATAACCTGACGTGTTGGCAGTCGGAGCCCTTCACCTCCAACCCTCACAACGTCACTTTGCACCTAGCGCTGGAGAAGTTGTACGAGCTCACCTACATCTCCTTGGAATTCTGCTCTCTGCGTCCGGACTCCCTGTCCGTCCTCAAGTCGCAGGATTACGGCAAGACGTGGCAGCCGTATCACTACTACTCCAGCCAGTGCCGAAAGGTCTACGGGAAGACCAAGAATGCAGCGATTACAAAGCAGAACGAGCAGGAGGCCATCTGTAGCGACATCCAGAGCCCCGACCTGACGTCGGTAGCGGCGGCCGGTTCACGGGTCGCCTTCAGCACCTTGGAAGGTCGCCCCTCCGCCTTCGATTTCGACAACAGCCCGGTCCTGCAGGACTGGGTGACAGCCACGGATATCAAGGTGATCTTCAACCGTTTGCCATCGCTGGGAGACGAGGAGTTAGACGACTCCATCCGAGAGAGCTACTATTACGCCGTGTCCGACTTCTCCGTCGGTGGCCGGTGCAAGTGCAACGGGCACGCGTCTCGGTGCATCAAAGACCGGGACGGGAATCGTGTCTGCGACTGCAAACACAACACAGCGGGAGCAGAGTGTGAGATGTGCAAGCCGTTCCATTACGACAGACCCTGGGCACGGGCAACCACCAAAGAAGCCAATGAATGTGTCCGTAAGTATCTCAGAACTTTCTGTCCAGTTTAAAGCCAACATCTCCTTTATTTACTTGCAGTTTCAACCAACTCGTAACCGTAATAATACTATTTAGAATCACTGCGTTACGCAAACACGAAACAAGTTAACTACCATCAAAAGAAACGGTTTCATATCAGCTTAAATACGACTCGTCATCTTTCGTCTAAAATTAAAGTCAAGCCAACTTAATTTCTGGATGCCCCAATATGCATTTGTCATTCCTGGTTCATCTGGACGAAGAAAATGTTGCCATTGACAATCACTGTACAATCGTCCCACTCCTCCACCCTCTGTGAGTATTCAGGGGGTATTGACTGGCAGATCGAACCGCAAACTAGACAGAATACAGATTTGGGATGTATTGGGCTAAACTTTTCCAGAGATATATTAAAGAAGTCCACTGTGTTATGCTGTTCGGAATCAAAAGCAAGGCACACACTAAGACGTAAACACTGCTTTCAACCTGCAAATTGGTAAAATCAACCTGCATCAAAATTAACAGAAACAAATTAGCACCAGCTATTTCTGTATTCACTCTGGGTCTTATATCACATAATTTAACTATATACCTACTATGAAATGTTTATAAATTGATAGCCGTTGTGCCTATCGCCCGTGTCCCTGTCCTGAAGCTAAAAACACACCGAGGACACGCAACTAATGGCGACCAGATCCGCTCTGTAATTGTGCCCTAATTAGATTGTCAAAAACTACTACCATGTTGTCTGGCGACATAACGAGTATGTCCTGTACTTTTCTTGTCAACGGGCAGCTACTTTGCGTACAATGCCCTTTGATGCCAAGATCATGCTTTAAAAATAGAGCTAGAAGCTCTGCAGTTTTAAGGTATTTAGTCCGGCACTCATCAGAATTTTAGTCAAAATTACAACTGCTTTCTCTATACACACGGCGATAGTTCTAGCTTCTAGAGTTCTTATTTTCTAGTCAACAATCTTGAATAACAAAAACAGTTATATTGACCCACTTTTTAGTTGCTCTCGGCTGAGAGTAAATTTTGACATTTTTAAAAGACTGAAAGATCCTGTTTTTTCTCAATCGTTTACGTCATCCACAGTAAAAAAAAAAAAAAAGTCTTTCCCCTCGTCCATCTCATATTCCAACATCTATTGGTTCTTCCATGATCAAACAACTTGCTTTCTTTGAAACCGACTTTAATCCATATCCCTTTGTTACGGTTGTCCACCGTGCTAACTTGTATCTATGCAGATCACAATGTCTGTGAGTCCGTCGCACTGTTTGTATGCAGGTCAGTCTTTGATTCTACAACCTGGCAGCGTATTCCTTCTGACTGTCTTATCTCTTCTCATCAAGGGACACTCAGGAAAGATCTGGGCTAAGCCATGTAAGCCTGGCTTTCCTTTGTGACCCTTTGGCTCAAGCTTTCCCCACCCACGGGTGCCTCTTCCTTTCCCCCGGTAGTCAGACTTATTCTTTGCTGTCGGGTCCTCTTGTCCAGTCAATTCATTTTTATCTTACTGGGTTTTGTTTATATTATTTTTTTTTATTAGTTTATCGTCCTCAATTCTATCACTATATTATAGCATAAATTATTATGATCAAGTCACTGAAAATGTAAGCATCATTTCAGCAGTATTAGACAATTAAAATGAATGAGATTGATTCTCGACTCATTAATTTGGAGAATAGAACTGTTTAACATTTATTCCTGTATGATGTGTGGAAACTAATCATGAGAAATACGTGCTTTGTAGCATTTGAAATAATTGTAGGTCGTTCAGAGCTAATTAGCTACAGCCTGCATTGGTTAAGTTGCAGTTTTGCAGGTTAAGTTGTGTGTTTTTTTAAAAGAAGGTCAGCCAAAAGAAATACTTTTCAGAGCGTACAGTGCTGGCCAAAAGGTTAGCGAATGACATCATGTTTGTTTCACTGAACGTTTTTGTAGTTTCAACACTTGTCTTAATTACTGAATGTTTTATCAGTTAAAGTTTTGGAGAAGAATAACTCAGGATGAACCTTTTGCTGAAGATTTTAACTTTCTTATTGAAATTTTAAATCTGGGACTAAAATTAGTGGAGATAGACTTTTTTTCAGGTTTTAATTCGACAGTTTGTTTTTCAAAGGCATTCGACTAGCAGAAAAAAAAAAGTTTTTACCCTCATTGGCAATTCACTCTTATGACTTGATAGGGCGCGTTCTAATGCCCAATCCCCAGCCCGACACAGGTGCAGGGGTGCACCGTTAAGTTCCGTGGTCAATTAGTATGAGTGCTGCCGAGTTCCGTGCTCAAATTGGGTGGGGATGGCGGCCCGATCTATCAGAGGTGAGCAGATATTCCACCGGGGGTTTAAAGGGAAATCCCAGGCTCCGTGTACTTTGTACCGTGTCGATACAGACATAATGGGATTTCATTAAAACAATGCCTGCTGATGTGACAATAGAAAGCACGCGCAGTGATATGACAGTGTGGTAAAACAATTCATGTGTTGTAATTGATGAGAACGAGTACATTTTGTATTTAAAAAAAAAAAGACAAGGAGGCCTGAGATTGAGAACAGTTTGCGAGAAAAACAACAAAATAATGTCTGACCTTTTTGTGGAATACGGAAACCGTGACCAACAGAGACTTGGCAAAGTCTAGACGAGGCCGATATCCAGGTTGATTCATAGGTTAGGTCTTTGCGCTTAAGGCTGATGTATATCAGCGAGCTATACGAAAAAACAGAGATGATTGCTAGCGAGAAATGTAATGCCGAGTGTTCGGTTATAATGCATTGTGAGAGTGTTCCACTCAGGAAATTGGTGTCGTTTTCTAATGCGTCAAGATGCTTCGAGCGTAGGGCGAAATGAAAAGGGTACCTCGGCCCCTGCCAGCTCGGGATTAAAATCCATTTCTCGGAGTCCTGGGAAAAGGCAGGATTTTCTTTGGAAAGATACTTTTGATTTGTTTCCCCCTTGAAAACACGGATTAGTACCGTTGAGCTTTCCTTCGGCCAGATCTTATCTCGACTTGTCAAAACTTATTATTTTCCCGGGATTTGAACTGAATACGCTTGATGTAAATCAAAAGTGACAAGTATTTCACCGTTTTGGGAATAAAGTCAGGCGTCCAGAAGAAATTCATAAAATATAATGTCACACTATCTGGAATTGTTTTCTTAAGAAAAAAAAATATGTTTCAGATTTGACTAGGAGGCATATGGCAAAAGGTGGAACTTCAGATCAGGAAAGACAACGTTATTTGAAGTCCGGGCCAAGAAAGACTGAATTGAATCTATAGTAAAAGGCTTATTCGAGTTGTTTCAGTAGATACGAGATTTCGTGACAGCTCACAAGAGCTAAGCAAACCAGTCAGTATTTTGAAGACGTTTAGAGTTTGCATGAGCAATTTTTAAACAGATGAGTCAAGAACAATCAATCACTCACAGCATACACGTGCACGTAAATCACGTTGAAATGTAACTAAAAAGAGAAACGACGCCAATGCAGGCTATTTGTCAGTTTCCATGCATGGAAAGTTTCACGCATCTCCTTTGAGAGCCGCGTATACATCTGTATTTGGTTACAGAATTAGAAATGAGATTTTGACGTGGGGTCCGTGTCTGGGCGCGATAACCACAAGATCTGTGGTTTGTAAGCCAGGTTTTGGTCACAAAATATAGAGCAGGCCAATTGTGGGGTGTATTATGTTCTGTTTAAAAGTGAACCTTAAAAATATACCAGCGGTGATAAAGTACAGGCAAACTGGGGGCATTGGAACCCTCACTCACAACTGACAGATTTACTGTGTGACTATCCTCCCATTTCCGCAGATTGGTTCTCATTTCCCACTTATTTAGGCAACTGAATTTATCGACCCCATTCCTTGTCATGTTGTGCACTGCCTGCTTTACATTACAGCTGCTCGGGGTAATTGAAGTTGTCAAATTTGTACATCACCAGTACAAATTCTCGGAGAAACGATCTAGATATCAGGACAGACGGAAGGAAGAGCAGGCTAATTAAGATGGCGCTCGGAAACGGTGGTTATTCATGCAATCATCAAGTGGGTATCAAAAAGTTGGCACTTCAGTCTGGTACAATGTGGAGCATGGCCTTACACTTGAAAACACGTGTTCGCTTGTTTCAATCAGTAAAGGTTATTTAATTAACGGCAACATCACGTGTTGTGCAACGGAAAGTGCATCTTACCGTTTGGCAACACGCTAATCTTGTCAGCACAATGGTGTAATACCAGTAAATTAGGCGATACATTATAGGTCTACCAAAGTTCCTGTTAACTTACTGAATGTCAAGTTTAGGTTAATCGGAATTCCCTTATTTATCAAATGAAATAGCAAGGACACCAACTGACGTTATGACTCAAATTTGGTATGTGTGACTGTATTTTGAACTATATTCTGCTGAATATGCTTTCCCATAGATAGAATGCAGCGTGTGTGACTTTTTAGCCTTATTTGAGCGCTTGCTTGAGCGCTTGCTTGAGTCTCACACCTTTATAAATATGTATTTGCACAAAGTTATAATGCAAATCACACTGAATACCCCGAATGCAAACACGCCATACTGCTGGAATTGTCCCTTTGTACGTTTCACAATAACTTAAAAGTTCGCCAAACTGCTGCTCATCTGTCGCAAATGGACCGAGAAAAGGCAATTTGTATCACTGACCGACGGAAATTGCATTCCTGATCAGATTCAATTATGGGCGGTGAATTGTGGTTGATATTTCAATTATTGCCCGGACATTATTCACTTGTTCGCGACGAGTATCGTAGCCAGCCACTGCGAGGCTGGTGTAACTGTTTCTGACAAGGGCAAAGATGGGATTAGTTGATGCCAAAACGCAAAGTTCACAGATAGAATTAGGGGGAAAAGGGCAAAAGAGAGTTTCAATGAAATTGTCCCAAGGGTTGGCGTTGGGGTGATTGGGTCTAGAAAGGTCCGGAGCAGTCGAGGGAGAATCTGTGGACCTCGCCAATAGGCTATAGGTAGGCC